CACTTTTTCTTTTATTAATAAAAGAGTTACCACAGGTTTACAGAGTTGAGTATTTCAGTAGAGGATCTTTATGAAGTTAAGTCAAAACACGTGTAATATCATGAAAAAATATTTACTAGCTGAGCCTTAATGAAACAAATGGTAACTGACCGTCCGACAGCTAAGTGCACACCATGGCGCCTTTCTCCCCAACAAAGGAAGTTCGCGGGGCCATCGTCTGCATGAAGATGGCGGATATCTCGGTAGCAAAGATATGTCGCGCGCTTCGCTGCACGCAGAATCTTGTGTATCGGACGTGGACCCGGTACCAGGAGACCCAGAGTACCGGAGACCGATTCCGTTCCGGCCGCCCCCGGTCCGGAGGAGCTTGAGAGCGCTTTCCTTCCGTATGTGGCGCTGTGCAGCGTTGAGGGAGTGAACGTGCTTCTTGCGGAGGCTTTTCACGCGGATATCCTTAGAAATGAGTCTGCGCATGGAACGCTCGGACACATTAAGGTCCCGGCCGGCCATTTGGCGCATGGGACACTCGGGGTTGCGGACAATCCGTCTGCGAACCGCGGCTTTCAGCTGAGGCGTGTGGGCGGACCGGGGGCAGCCGGAACGGAATCGGTCTCCGGTACTCTGGGTCTCCTGGTACCGGGTCCACATCCGATACACACGATTCCGCGTGCAGCGAAGCGTGCGACATATCTTTGCTACCGAGATATCCGCCATCTTCATGCAGACGATGGCCCCGCGAACTTTCTTTGTTAGGGAGAAAGGCGGCATGGTGTGCACTTAGCTGTCGGGCGGTCAGTTACCATTTGTTTAATTAAGGCTCATCTAGTTAATATTTTTTCATGATATCACACGTGCTTTGACTTAACTTCATAAAGATCCTCTACTGAAATACTCAACTCTGTAAACCTGTTGTAACTCTTTTTATTACTAAAAGAAAAAGTGTACCAGAACTTATGACGCACCCTGTAGATCACTTGACGGAGAGTGTTTGTCTCGCACAGTGTTACTCACCGACAGCTATTTTAATTTTAGGTGACTTCAATGCAGGGAACATTTACCTAAACCGAGACAGACAGTACAAGCATAGCGGTTTATCTCCTTTTGACCATCAACTTTACCGTACTGCCGAAACTCTTGACCTCGAACAGATCATCCACCAACCTACCAGAATCACCGAAAACACACAGAATATTCGAGATTTGATTTTTACTAGTGACTCACAAATAATAGCTAGTAGTGGAACCATGTCACCATTTTCAAACCTTGACCATTTCCCCGTAATCGCATCCATCAAAATATCGTGCCCATCAAACACAAGCAATGACACACACAGGCAAATATGGGACTATTCGAACCTCGACTCAGAACTTTTAACACGATTATTGCTTGACGTTGATTGGGAAGACATTTTAGATCACGACGTAAATGAGGCCACTGAAAGATTCATTAATGTTTTACTAGATGCCGGTGAGAAAGCTATTCCTCGAAAGACCATTTACATCAAACCATGTAAAAAACCTTGGCTGTCAACTGAACTTAACAAAAGCATAAGAAAACGCGACAGACTTTTCAAACTAGCAAAACGATCAAACACTAATTACGACTGGAATCGCTGGAAATACCAAAGGAACGTAGTGACGTCATTAAATAGGGAATTAAAGAGACAACATATAGAGAAACAGGTCCGTAAGCTTTTAACTCATAGACGAGACCCTTACAAATATCACCAGACGTTACGCGAAATAACAGGACGCAAAAAGACTGATACCATCCCACCATTTGAAGGAAAAGACGGAGAAATACTTACTGACAATTATACAAAGGCTACCCTTCTAAACGAATTTTTCGCCGGACAAACCAAAACTGACAAAAGTGGGACACTCTTACAGACAGCTATTCGAAGAACAGACACTTCGCCGGTACCCACTCTGGACAAAATTATCACATCTGAAAGAGAAGTTCTGCAAATTCTAAATTCCCTAGACGCCAACAAATCTACCGGCCCAGACAACATCCCTGTGAAACTTTTAAAATTAACTGCCATCTTAATTGCATCCCCTTTGTCGAAACTATTCAACAAATCACTAGCGCTAGGCATTTACCCTTCCAAATTCAAAGAGGCCAACATCAAACCAATATTTAAAAACAAAGGCTCCCCATCTGAGCCCACAAACTACCGCCCCATAAGTCTTCTTTCTTCGTTGTCCAAAGTTTTTGAAAAAAATAGTCCACAAACACATATATGCACATCTTTCCCACCATAACCTCTTGACAGATAAACAGAGTGGGTATCGACGAGGCCATAGCGCAGAACAACAATTATTATACTTGACACATAATTTATACAAAGCATTGGACTCAGAAAGCGATTTTACTGCTATTTACCTGGACATTTCAAAATACTTTGACAAAATTTGGCACGAGGGACTTTTGTACAAATGTAGACATGAATTTGGCATCACTGACTCACTTTACGACTGGCTAAAATCTTACTTGTCTGATAGACGACAGCGAGTTCAAATCGGCGATACCTTTTCAAAAACAGAAATTATCAACGCCGGATGCCCACAGGGTTCGGTTTTGGGTCCTCTTTTAGCCCTCATTTACCTCGATAACCTCTCTACTAGAACACAAAATGACATTTTATTTTTCGCAGACGACGTATCGCTTTATGCATCCCATACAAAACAAAATTTGAACACAACACAGACGTCATTACAAAATGATCTCAATGAAATACAAAAATACGGTAAAGAATGGGCGATTACTTTCAACGTAAGCAAAACAATACAACAGACATTTTCACGCAGCCCACAAAACACACCACCTGCTCTTACATTTGGGGACGACATAATACCCATTCACGAAAACCACGCTCATCTGGGAATGACATTTTCAAAGGACTTGCGGTTTCATCAGCACATTAACGAAATTTGCAAAAAGGTAAACAGAACCATGAGCCCATTGTACTCCATTGCTCCATACATCCCCCGAGAAATTTTAGATCAAGTTTACAAAACATACACGAGACCACATTTTGACTTTTACGACACAGTTTATGACGGACATATTACGCTCCAGGACACACAGAGACTTGAAGTTTTACAAAACAGAGCGGCTCGGCTTGTGACTGGCACTTTATTTAGAACACCAACTGACAAATTGTTAAAAGACCTAGGATGGAACAAGTTAAAAACAAGAAGAGAGATGCACAAAATAACACTATATCATACACTCAATAGCCACATGCAAAAAACTCCCAACTACATCAAATCAATCATACCGGACACCCGCTCACAAAGAACAGGAAGGACCCTGCGAAATCACAGGAACCATACACTCCAACCACATCGCACCACATCCTATCAGTCATCGTTTTTCCTATCAACTGCCAAACTATGGAACCACCTCCCAGAATCATTAAGATCCTTGCCCCATACATCCTTCAAAAAAGAAATTAACCAGCGACTAGGGATGCCCAAACCCCCAGACTACTACAAAATTGGCTCAAAAACTGGAAATATTCTTCATACCCGACTAAGAACTGAAATGTCTTGTCTAAATTCTCATCGTTTTCAAATCAACAAAGCAGATTCGCCTGAATGTTCTTGCGGCCACTTCAAGGAAGATGTCCGCCACTACGTAATATTCTGTCGAAATTATGATGCCCAAAGGAAAACACTATTTGATAACGCTTCTCGTATACTGGGAGAAAATTTTGCAAATTACTCACCCGACCAAAAATTGAACATTCTTATCCACGGAGATCGCTTGAGTGGCGAGGGCAGTCGAGAAATGGCTTACGCCTTTCAAAAGTTTTTGACAAAAACAAATAGATTTTCGTAGTAACAAATAAATTCATTCAAAGTTTTTTAAAATTTGCAATCCCGAGAGCTGAGCGGCTGATGGAACACCAAAATTTACCGCTCATGAGCGACTGGTCAGCGGCGGCGGCGGTTGTTTCACATGTTTTATTTTTGTTCCAGAGTGGTGCCTCGAGTTAAGCGATTGCGCTTTTGCACCACTCTGCTATCACTTTTATGTTGCTACATTGTGCCATATGTTTCATTGATCATGCTTTATTTCTCGTGTATCTTTAACGTTTTGTGTGTGTGTGTGTGTGTGTGCTCAGCGTCTGGACGCATATTACCCCACATTACCGTGACCCTGGCCTTTTGCATAGGAATAAAGCGGGATGACACGAAGCCCTTTTCCGTCGCCCATATGGGACCGTTTTGGGGGTTTGGACGGGTGTTTTATCTCGAACACGGACTAGGTAGTCCAGATGACCACATTGATGTCATCGGGCCTCCAGTTTTTTTTTTTTTAGCCTCAGGCATAACGAAACAAATGTTTGGCCATTTTAAGACATTTTCGACTGTTTTGCGTCCTCCGTTAAGTTTAAGCCCAGGTGACCGTGAGTTATGTACCCCGAAATAATACTCTTAGACAGCTGGTAATCCATCCTGAAAAGCCTGCTTACCAACTTTCTAACGCTAAGACCTTTTTGACGGCCACTTCGGCGCCACACAGTTTTGGACACATGGCTCACTCCTGAGAGCTGACAAAAAAGAGCATAAACTTGCAGCGATTAACTCCCGACAAATCATCGCCGTCACTTGCTGACTGTGCGTCCAGTTAGCGACAGGCATTGGCTACAGACTGGACGGCCTCAATCAACCTCAACCGTCGCGAATGGCCCACGTGCGGGCTAAACACCGAGACGAACCCGTATCGGAAACCTCTATGTTGCGGCGTAAGCCGTCTCCACAGGAAGTGAACTCTCTAGCAAAAAATATTTTGTCTAGACGAATTAGTTACCGTGAAGCATATTCACAGTTGCCATGGCAACCTCAAAAGCTCAGTTACAAAATAAATTAAGCGTGGCTTTAAATAAGAGAACCTCTAAAAGAAAAATTTAGGTGAGAAGTAACTTATGGGACACCCTGTACTTTAGGGGAGAGTGACCAGAATGGCCGCTGCGGGGTGAGCTCACTCACAGTTTTGCACCAGAGTGCCGGCGGCGCTCGGTGTGGACGGCTCCGCGCTGCTGATGACTTGGTAGCCCGCTTGCCCTCCCGTCGGGCCCGCCTTGGTCAGCACGCCATCACGAATCATGCGGTCGATCTTGGCGTGGCGGTCTGCGTTAACGCCAGAGCTGCCGGCCACGCCTGCCGAGGAGAGGGCTGACGAGAGCAGGTCGGCCGGCGCCGGGGCGTCGCCCAGGGCGGTGATGCTCTTCCCGCCACCTGTGGAGGCAAAACAGAGTAGTCTGCTGAGGTGGTCAATGATACCAACTTTCGACTCTGCAGCGCTCACCTGAGCCTAATACATCAAGGGCGCATTTTTAGAATGACGCGATTCACGGGACTATTTTAGTATGCAATCTTATAAATGCTATAGAATCGAAAGTAGGGCATTATGTAGGATGCGGCAAAGGCTTAGTTACCGTCCATCTCTGCGATAAAACTTCGTGTATTTCCAATATGTTACCAATCATCACGTTGCGAGTAACTTTCTTACGTTCCTGCATCTTTCCCTGAGGCCGGGATTAGCTGAACAGCTGACATTGACCCAGAGATTGACTAGCCTGGATTCTTGTCCAGCTAGTGATCGACGCGTGAACCACGGCCTAAGCGTGGAAGTTGAATTTTAAGGTTTAACCCGCGCCGGGTCGGAGGGTGTTTTCAATTCTTAACGCAATCACTTTTGCCACCAGTTTATAAATAACATCAAGTAAGCAGATTGGCCTTTTGTTTTCCAACATTCTTTGGTCACCTTTTTTGGGGATTAACGTTAAAACACCTCTACGATGGGCTATAAAAAACATTCCCCTGCTTCGTGCCTCGTTTACATTATCAGTCAAAAACTCACCTAGATCATCCCAGAACAGGGCGAAAAATTCTGCAGAAAACCCCGATATTCCTGAGGCTTTATTCAATGCCATTTTTGACACGGCAACTCTTCCTTCTTCTTTTGTGATCGGTCCCGCACATGCTAGCTTTTCTGCCTCAGGCAGCCGTTCTGCGTTGTTATCAGGTACAAAATAACTATACTTATCGCGTCCTAATGATTTTGACTCGTAAAGATTTCTGTAATAATCGGCACATGCTTTTAACCCTCGCCCGCACATGGGGGGGGGGGGGGGTGGTGGTTGCCACCCCCCAGGCAGTCTTTCTGCTCTGCACTCAACATTTTTAGAGCTAGAAGGCTGATTTTTCGTATAGCTGCTCGTCTATCCTTTCTTGATGTCCACTGAAAATTTCAAGTTTCTGTGATTTTTGGTTTCGGAGATATGACCTTCTTTTTCAGGTCATGTCATGACCCAAATGGCCAATTCTCAACATCTTGCGTTTGCCATGGGCCTTGTGAGCTTTTGACACCCTGATTTCGGCCTTTTTTTGCCAGTCTTACCTCCCACCTATCATGGAACATGTTGTTCGACGATGTACAGGGGTCAAGGTCAGGGTCAAGGTCAACCTAGGTCATCTAAGATAATTGCGTTTTAGGCAAGCTGAATTTACTTTTTGTGAAGTTTTTTGACTGCATTTTTGGTAAAAGCTTCTCAGATCATGATTTCATGTGATATGGACCCAAAAACAATCGGTGCACACATCAGTATACACACAGACACACACAGACATACAAACACATATAATTGACCTTCACCTAACTTGACCTGAAATGACCTCAGCAGCAAAATTCTGGTCGGATAGTGTGACAAAGAGGTTCTAGCTGGCTTGGCACCAGAAAACAGCATCGTCATCGGTATTTGATAAGCAGCGCACTTGATATCCAACGGTGACCCAAAACAGCAGCATTTTTTAGTTTGACCTGCCCTGAAAGGTCAATGACTGATCTGAGAAGGTAAAACTGGTATCATTGGATTCGTCTCTTCCCAAAGAATCTTTTTGGTCTTTACTGCTAGGCTCTATCTCCAATAGGAACGAAATGGCGCGGGGGGGTGGCAACCCCCCCCCCCCCCAAGTGCGTTCTAGGATGGGAAAATGGCATGTGCGGGCGAGGGTTAAGATTGCTTTATTGCCCCTAACTGTGCTACCGTCTATCTCCTTAATTGCGGTGATATTCTTTTGCGCAGCACGTTGTTCCACCATTCGAGTAAAGTACTTTGTTGACTTTTCGCCCTCTTCTATCCACCTTGCTCGTGAAGCAATAAGAGCCGATTTTCCACTTTCTTGTTTAATCTCTTCCAATCGGCTGCGTGTCCTTACATATTCACTTCTCACCTGTTCGCATGGTGCCTGCGCCAATTTGGCATCTAAGTCACATAATTTGTAATAAATTGCATTCTCTTCCTTTCTTATCTCGCGAGCTAATGTTCTGCTACGCTTAGGTAATTGAAATTACTCTGATTCTACTAAGCATCATTTCCACTAAAATACCCTTATGCATATCGTCATCATATTCTCCTATCTTATTAACCGCTTTTCTTATCTCATCTTTTACTGATCTAACATAAATGTCATCTTTCAATAGGTTGTTATTAACTCGCGCCCGGCTGGGGGTCCTGGATTTCCACGCCCTGCGGGGGGGGGGGTGTTTGAACACCCCCCTTCTAACTCGGCTCCTGGGCCACGTAGCGATACGCGGAAGGCGGCGTTCGAAAGAGCGTCAAAAATAATGAGGAAATCACTTCGGTCAATTTTTTGGTCAGGTCAAAGGTCAGGTCACCAGAGGTCATTGAAGGCAAAATTTCGCCGATTTCCAGGTCGAATGTCGAAAATTTCCAAGAAGCCAACGCATAACTCGGGAACCAATAGAGCCACAGCGCCGCGGAAAAGCGCATTCGATAGCCCTATTAACGCCCTTTCTGAGTAATCTTTTCAGATTTGACCTAACGTCAACGGTTTTGCCTGCAGGGGGCAAAAACTGCAAAAATAGCCGATTTTTTCGGAAACAGTTTTCCTGCAATAACTTTTGACCCAAGCCTTGTACGAGCTTACTGTTACCGGCATCGTGTTCCTCTCGTCAAGACGCATCGAATGAACTATATCTTGACCTTGAAAGGTCAACTTGAAAATTTGACCTCAGGTCAAGGTCATGACCTGACCGGAAAGGGTCATGTTGCATATCAGTCGATCCGTATCGTCGAGCTGAACACATCTAAGGCGTTTTCATCGCTCTAGCATGCCTCTATCAAAAGTTATTCGCGAAAAACTGTTAGATACCATTCGTGACCTAAGATGACCTCAGGGCATAAACAGGGGTCACGGACACCATTTTCATGTTCAGTGTGTCTAAACCACTTGTAATTCAGTGTTTGGGAGTGTTTATAATGTCTTTCGTCCAAAAGAGGCGCATTTCAATTTTCTCCCATTGACTTATAATGGGGAGGTCGCAAAATTGACCTGACCTTAGGTCATCGATATCAAAATTCTGAGATATACATTTTGTACATGCTATTGCTCTTAGCAATCGCTGAAAGTTTCAAAGCGATCGGTCACTCGGTGTAGCTATGACAGACATTGAAACTTTTTATGAGGTGAGGTCACTTCAAGTGACCTGGTGACCTGACCTTGAATGACCTTGGTCTGAATTTTTTACAACATGTGTAGAATTGATGTATGATAAGGTGTACCAAAAACGGCGGCGCTCCGCGCCGCCATTTTTGAGATATTCGCGAAAAACCACAAGGGGGGTGTTCAAACACACCCCCCCCCCCCCAGCAGGGCGCGGTTTAAATCTCCATATTCCGAATCCACGTGGCTCGACTGACATGTCAATGCTCAACACGACGAAATTATGGTCACTAAGCAGCCCCGCTTCAATCTTGGCTTTAACCGAGTTATAGGGTGGTGTGGGATAATTTGAACATATTTGTACGTCTTCTCCGTTGTACCAAATTCCAGCTCAACCCTGGATGAAGAAAAACTGTTTCAGTAGCGCATGTGTCACTTGCTTTTACCATGCAAGCCTCATTTTTGGACGAGCCGAGCATACCTTGAATAGCATAGCATCACTTCTCCACCAAGTCACGGTGTGTTCAAATTGCCCCAGCGTGGGGTAATTAACAGTTGAAGAGTATCAATATCTGCACGCTGCACACCGGTCAGTTAACAGAATTCGCCTCTCTTCAATTAACAGAACGTCTATCATCTCCGTTCGATAAAAACTCTACCAAACCTTACTTCATCTGTTATAGTGGTGCCAATCGGAACCTGGACATTCAGAGTTCCGATTCTTTATAATGTCCAATTCGGAATTGATTGCGCAAAGGTATAGTAGTCTGGACAGCATTGGACAATGGCCCGCCACACTTAAGCATTTTTATCAAGTAATCGTGCGTAGCATTGATTGGCGAATGGAAAGCTTGTTAAGCTCTCAATATAATGAACACTTTTCGGCTGGTAAAATTACATGATAAACAATATAAATGACGGTTTTGAGTGTTGATAGCTGCATAATTTTCGGACACATTTGGACAAATAGTTGACTTTAACATTTTTGGACGGAATATCAACGAAAATGCCGGACATTAGACGGATATTGGACGTAAATTTTCTAAAGCTGGCATCACTTATCTGCTACTGCTTTGGGTCGAAGATATTGGCAAAAAAAAAGAAACTGGGAGCGTTGTTTTTTCGGAGCTATCCCTGTCTTCATTGAAATTCTCACACTATGTTCAAATTACCACATGCTAAAAGTTATTTTGCCATTTTTGAAAACAGGGTTCAAAAGCAAATTTCTTGGATTGAAGGCACTAATTAGGTCATTGTACAACAAAAGCCGTTGCGTATTAGGCGCTAGCAATGCAAGATTTTGCGCTGCAATGAAGTTGCAATGACGTGTTGTTAGGCGTTTATCCTTGCGAAATTGATTTTTTACACTGTGCGTCAACATCTTCATTCCCTGAAATTTTAAACCCCGTTCATATGATAGCCTTTTAGTTACGATAATTTCTCTCATTGGTCTTATTGTCATGCCACTTATGGGTTTTCCGTAATTTTGTGTTATTCACACTATGTTCAAATTGCCCCACATGTTCAAATTGGGTTCCGGACAAAATATCGAATAGCAAAACATCGAAGACCAATTATCGAAGTGGCAGAGTATCGAAAGAAAAATATCGAATGCGCAAAATATCGAAATCGCAAAATATCGAACCGCAAAATATCGACATCGCAAAATATCGACATCGCAAAATACCGAACTGCATAATATCGAATTGCAAAATATCGAACTCGCAAAATATCGAATAGCATAATATCGAAAGCAAAATATCGAAACG